AGTTGAAAAGGGTCTGCTTAAACAAAAACGGATATAATATATATATATATACATATAGGGTATAGATTCTGAGGTGTTAAAGCATCGACCAATAGCTCCTCCTACCTGGATGTGCAGGATATGCTGGAAGCGCCGCCTGGCAGGATCGCCCAAGAAATCCCGGCGATCATCGGAAGTTGGTGAATGACGTGAGCAACAGCTGTTTCCTGATCCTACAGTAAGGGACTTCAAACCTCAGCTCTAGCCACCCAAGGATCCGCCATCCGCCGGAAAGATGAACAGCAAATCTCCGAAGTGGGATGGAGCAGAAAAAAAACACCGTGTGGGCCCCAAAACGGCTCACATTGGGCCGTCAAAACTGGGACAATCCAACTTCTAGAGGTCCCCGTTGTGATTGATCGAAGTCAGAAGCACTGAATCCCCCCGCCAGGTTCTTGGCATCAGGGTCATACAAGATACTCTAGAATCAACCACCGGTTTTTGGGTGACATTCCACCTTGCTTTGCGTGAAAGCCATGTACCCTAATATATACATATGTGTGTGTGTCTATGGATGTACTAAATCTTCAAGAAATGCATCGAACACACATCACATGGTCCATGGATAGCACCTATCAACGACAGTCAGCTTTGACCCGAACAAGCCAGAGATGCAAGGATGCATCATCCAAAGTTTTTGTATACTAAATATATACACTCTTTCAGTGTAGCAGAATCACAGCCCCCCCTGGGTCCCCCAATAGACAACTGTTCAAACCTCCCAGCTTTTAACCAGGTCTCACACCTGTGGCTGGGGATGTGGTGGAGGCTGAGCCGGCGGAGCTTGGGAGGCTGCCTCGGTGTCATGAGGAAACAAGTCAGTGATTCTGTGGGTGATGGGTGACATTGATGAGACAACCACTGCATTACATGTCTTTGAACCATTGGCAATCAGTGCTAGACCATGGCAACCCACCAGTAGCAAAGAATTGCAACTCATTTGGTTGGAGCGTGGAGCCAAGTGACATAGAGGTTTCTCTTAGGCTCGGTGGAACACTTGGATTTACGGCTCAGTCAGCCACTCCCTAAAGGCTCACTGGTTGAAGCTCCCAAGTTTGGTCTGGGGACACCCACATATCGATCATATAGCCTACTATAGCCCCCAGAAAACACCAGTCTAGAGTCTAGACGATGCAAATCGTCTAAACTCCCGGGACTTGTCCGGAAACTGGATGCCCCCTGCTGTGGACCCTTTCCTCTACCTTCTGTGGATCTGTTGGATCCAGGCGATCCACCCCAGGGCTCCAGTCGTAGCGAAACGAAACGAAGGTACGACTGGAGGTCTAGGGGCAGTAGCCAACACATACCAGTGGTTCCACTTCAACGTCACGAACCAGTGTTCCACCGAACGGTAGGAGGGCCCCGTCGGTTCCGTCCGTTCAGTGGGATCCGGTGCCAGATCTCGGCGTTCCGAACGGCTCGACGCCGTCCCAGATCCGTTTAGTTGGATCCTCTGGTCTTGGCCCAGATCTGGATCCTCTACGCCAAAGGACTTGTCTCTGCTGCCATCCTTCCAGCTCCCGTGGCTGCGTCCAAGTGGACTGTGCAGTGGCCTCACGCGGTCGGGACCAAACCGCGGTCAGTGCGCACTGCGGTCGGGCAGGGCGGTGGCGGTCAGGACCCATCAAAAACCATGTCCTGGAGATCTCCACCTTCAAATGTCTATAATCCCTAGGGCTCCAGTCGTACATTCAAGAAGGTGGGACTGGGGTGGGTGCCAAGAGGGTCCAAGTACCTCTGAAAAGGTACTTGGAGCCCTAGGGAATAGAATGGCTATACTCAGTTGGGCTGCTTTTTGACAATGAAAATCCAGTCTACGTCGTGTTTTGGGCCATTTTGTTCTTTAGTATGCTTTAGTTATGGAGTCGAGTCATCATGAACAAATAAATCATGTGACCCGACCCCATCTGTTGCCTAAACACCACTGGTGGCTGCCAACAAGGGCCTGGCCATCTGCTACATACAACCTCCAACTTGAATTGATCAATCATGCAGCGAGATCGACCGCGCCAAGCTTGCCAAGCATAGGTCGTTTGGGCTGCAAATGGGAATCATGTAGTTAGGCATGTGCAAAGCCATCTCCAGTCATGCCTCAGTTTAGGGTGGTTGAGCCCGTCTCATGTACCGGTGATAGCTTTATGCAGCTCCGAAGGATCAAGTAAGGGAATGGTCGCGTGGGACGTGTGGGACAAACAGATGGAAGACATCCAATTGATGTTGAAGCTATCCGCCTTGGTGCTAGTTTTGGCAAGATTTGTGCGGGAACTTTCTTGGCATGTTGTTGGCTGCTGTTCCTGTCTGAGACCCATCTCCTACTAGCTCCCCCAAAATGGCTACACAGCAGCTATCAGTGGGGTGTCAGCAGCTATCCCTACGTGCACTAGCCAGCGCTGTTCCCAGCTGGCCTCGTTGTAGTAGTACATCCCTTGTGCGCATTTGTTGACCTGCCATGGCCTGAGTGGTTCGCAGAAAATGCCCTTGTGGCTGACCATAACGAGAAAGAAAGGGAACAAAGCTCTGTGGACAGTGGGCAAGGTAGTGAAGCCCTTAAGCATTACTCCCCTGCAAAGGACCACATGGACCCCCAAAACCACTGGGTTGTCGAGAACAATGGTCTTCCACCGGTCAATTCTCGGGTTCCATGTTAGTTTGCGGGAGAGTAAGCATGTCAATTTCTCCTTTTGAGGGTGACTCTTGCAGGTCCTGGGCTGATACTTCATAGTCTGAGAATGTCTGCCTGGATCTGATCGGCCTGACACAGCGACAACCTTTGGGTCAATTGATTGTGATCACCATTCTCAAACAAGGATTGCATCACCACCCAGCTCCTGACCCTACTCCACTGGTAACGCCTAGGCTCCTGGGCGCATAAAACACCCGTCTGAGCCCCGCACGGCTCCCTGTAGATGATCTCCGACATCACGGGGGCCGGCGGACCACCGGGTGACCACCTCGGCCCCAGTGCGAATGTGGTGGAGATCTGCCAGAAGTCCATGTGGTACCCTGAAGACGGTCTTCGTTATGAATGCAGTCTTCATATGTTTAAAAAACCCACACACCAACAAAAAATAGATACATAAAACTCATGGGTGTAGTACTTGGTCAAAGTGGAACTGAGTAGAACTGTTCAGAAGTCCGTCCCCGAGAAAGAATTGACGACAAGCGCAATCAAGTTATAGCTTGTGGGACGTTCCGGTTGGAAAGTGGGCTCTCTCCTATGGCAAGGCTGAGGAGATCCAAACTGAGAACATGGGAGAACTAAAATGCCAAAGATCTTCAAACAATCCATTTGACGGCAACTATATCTATACATGGCTATCATGGTTTGGAGCCATGACTGTGGGCAAGCTATCCATCCAGTACAAACTGTAGGGCAATATAGGGCAATATTGTTTTAAATGTTTTTTGAGCTAACCATGTACATTTGGATCACCAGCATCCCAATCAGCTGATATCAGCTGCGTGGAGATTGACCGGGTAGGGCTCCGGTTGAAACATCCTCCCGCAATCAAACCGTGACGTATCTCATCGGCACGGTCTTCATACCCCCAAGTCGTGTCGTGGTATGTCCTCATGCTCTTGTCCATGGCAAATGTCCATCCCAGGTGTTGATTTTTCGATGTCCAAGCACCTTCAACAGCCTGAGTACCGAACCTTCCCCTTCGGTGGCCACAAAGAAACTGAGCCGAAAATGCCGCGAGGTGCAACCGCTGACATGTGCTGACAAGATCATAAGAAGTTGGGACTTGGCTGGGAAGGTGAACCATCACAAATCGTTCCTCGGAATGACGGGTGATTTCCTCACCTTAGAATGTGGTGAACCCCAGCAAGGTGATGATGGCCTCTAGACTTCCTCCGTGAAATTGGCCACTCTGCAACTGGCAAACTCATGGGCATTTCTTTTTGGATACGCGCCAATCCCCTTCTGCACCCTTAGATGGACGCCATCTTCATGCACATGTTTTTCGATGTCGGCCAGCGCGGCTAGCGAAGCACATCGTCATCCTCGTTCCAGCCACGCGTTATGTTGGAAGTTGCATGGCAAATGCGGCAAATGAGAGAGGGCAAGGATGGGCAAGGAGGATCCGGACATTTTGCTGATGCGCGCCATATGAGGATTGGCATGTCCGACTGTTGGTCACAAAATGTCACAACCAAAGGCCACAAAAATGGTGGGCAAGATGAACATGCAAAATCAAAATCGCATCACAGGAGGAACCATCTATGATCAAGGATCTCAACATAATATGATGTCTGGCTGGGATGTCAACCCTCTCTATATAGGGAGTGGCATTGAAAAAGCCGTGGATCACCTCACGTAGGGAATTTCCCCTCCACGCGGATCCGCGATTTCGCGGATCCGCGAGACGGGTATAGAGGAACATGTCGATGTCTCTCCATCCTTTCGATGTCGTGTGGCGGAAGATGTCGCGGAACATGTGATCGCAGCGGAAGATGGGAACAACATGGAACAAGCGACCACTTCAGGATGCTTCAGGGCATGAAGGGTCGGAGTGTCAGGTCTGCCATTCTTTGGGCACATAGAGTGTCTCATTGGGTAGGTCAAGCCAGTCCTGGCGCAGCAGGTGGAAGCCTGTGACTTTCCATGTTCCCAAACAGGAGGGGAGCAATGTGGGCAAAGCAAATCTGATGGTTAGTAAAGGCCTTTCTCTAAAATGGTGACAATTGTTTACCGACTGTTGCAGGTACTGTAATGGGTAATGGGACAACCCCAAAAATTTAGAATATTAATGAATATTTATATGTTCACGAGGGGTAGCCTTGCCAAGTGGGAGTATAATTAGGCGTTGGATGGCTTTGGTAATTCCAGGCAAAGGCACCTGCATGGTCAATAAGCAAATCTGTAGAAGAGGACTCTTATATACTCTTATGCATGAAGCTGCTTTTTAAAAATGATCTGCCGAAAAAAACTCTTCTGAAAAAAAAGCACTGGAGTCGTTTCATTGCGATCCAAAACCGGGTCGTTTCTTGGAAAACACCTCCGCGCAAGTTGCCCCACCGAAACCGCACGCTGCTCTTGGACACTCCTCATAGCCCTGCCAGTCGTTGCGGTAGTAGACCGCGGGTAGGGCGGGGAGCCGTAGGCTTCGGAGACCTTAGCCACGTCAGGACGCCATGACGTTGGTGCCTGATTCAACTGGGCTGTGCGGCGTTTTGCACAGTTGAAGGACGTTTCTCAAAACCAGCCCTTCAGTCGAGGGGCGCACGGGGTCGGCCTCCACGAAGCGATACCAGGACTCTTGGTTCTTAAGGCCCAAGAGTCTCGAGACCAAACGTGCCTGGAGCCAGGCATGGACATATAGCCATGGATATCTTGGTCCAAGTTTAGTGGTTTCTGGTGAGGTAGGCCCGGTTGAAATGGTTCACTGACGTTTACTGGCACAACTGATGCAAGCCTTGAATCCCCTTGTATATCACACCTAGCTTACTGTTTGCCTGTTTGCCTTACCCTCTCAACGTATACCAGCTCACCTGGTCGGGCTTTTGGGCGAAATGCGGGGTCTCCCAACCGCGCCGCACCCGCCGATTGGATCACAGGTACCATCTTCCTATTTGCTTGTTCCATCCCCTCCTCTATTCATCCACCAAGGCCGTTTTACATGGCGATGCGCACACAGAAAAACTAAGAAAAAAACAAAAGCAAGCACATCCCCTCGAGAGTGCCTGGGCAAAGGGCAAAATCACCCCGAGGAAATCATCCCAGCCCTGCCACTCTTCTGCATACATGGCCTCCAATCCGTCCATCCGAAGCGAAGAGACCATGAGGCATCGAGAGAACAGGAGCTTCGACAGTTTGTTGGATGGGTGGCATAATGACAGTGGTGGCTTTCTTGGTGTTCAGAATCGGCCCGGGATCCGGAAAAACAACAAAACAAACGCACCATGCTGTCAAACTTAAATGTTCATGGCACGCACATGTCTGGAGCACTGGAAGTCTGGAATTTGAAGCATTTCCACACATGTCCACAGCGATTTCAGCACAAAAAGCTCTTGGGAGTTTCAGGTGCGGTATTCAGACGTCAAAGGCCCCACAGAAACAAACAAAACAAAGACACCTTGACCACCATTGACCATTCACCTTTGGATTTCTGGGAGCTCCACTCCTTGAACATCGCCTGGGACATCTCGAACAACACGAGGGTACACCCCTCCCATCCCCTCACCATACCGTAACCACTACTAGTCACTACCGTAACCCTGTGGGTCAATTCGTGGCTTTCCGACTGTTTCAGATCTTTCTGTCTGCGAGGCTGGGAGACCTTCGGTCCGTCCACCCCACGCCAAGCCACCTCCGGATCGCTCGGCACCTCAGGTCGCGGGGTTTGCGTGGCGCGAGGGGTGGCACGACAGGTCTGATGATCGAGAAGGCAACCAAATGGAGCAACAAGGTGGGACTGGGGTGGGTGCCAAGAGGGTCCAAGTATACCCTCGCCCTATGGTAAGATATTTTAAGTGGGTCTGGGGTGGATTGACTCAACGATTCTGCTCATGGATTCACCGCCTAACTGGGGGGGGGATCGACTTATGCCATCCAGGCCCCGAGTTCCAAAAGCCCAAATGGCTTGGAGGTACGGGAGGTACTTGGAGAAATTGAGCTCTTTTCCAGGATCTTTGACTTCTGGATCTGCTTCTGGAACTTTCACCGGCCCAACCAGCATGGCCAGGGCGGGACCGATGGACTGACTCAACTCCTCGAAGAGGACAGAAGGGGTAGACAAAGACCCCCAGAACATCCACATCCAGGTTTGAATGCCCATCCCAAACACTCTGGCAATATATGCCCACATTGATCCCCAAAACCACCCCAAGGTTGGCATATATATATATATTATATATATATCATATATGGCATAATATGGCATACATGGAGTGGTGGGGGTTGGATCCACATACCCTCCCATCTGACAGGGTGATTGGAGGGAGGCACTGAAAAATGTAGGTGCCAGGAGGGTCCAAGTACATTCTGAGAAGGTATGTGGCTCCCTGTGCAGTAATAGATCCTGATATTTCTGCACGGCAGCAAGGATCTTCCACATTGAGCACTCTCAAACTGTCCTGAAGGCGCAGGCGCGTAAGGGCCCAAGAATGGCGATTTCTTGCCATCTGCCACCCACTCATCCCATTCACTGCCTTGGCGCTTGCCGCGCGGAAGGCACTGAAAGGTTTTGTCTCCAGCCCCACCTAACAACTTCGGGAACCATCCGGCCACCCTCAGGATATTGCGAGAAAAAACAGCAACCAAAAGGGTTCTTGGTTTCTTTGACCCGAGCGGCGGCAGCTGAAACCAATCGCTTGCACGCAGCGGCGTGCCTCGCAAGCTCGTGGCCAGCAGTTTTTGTCCCTTTAAAACATGAATTCGAAGGAATTTGATATGGTATGATATGGTCAAACCAACGGCAATCGAGGCAGCTGTTTGGCTGCTCTTGCCTGCAAGTTTCATTCCAAACGCGAGGGATCAAAACTGGAGTTCGCTCTTCACGCTGGGCCCAAAAACTAAATGGGGCTAGAAACCATGGTCCCCTACCTCCAGTGCGCAGCATGAGGTGAACATGCTTGTACGTATACATGTGAGTTGGTTTCACTCAAACCTTGGTCCAAACCACTCAAGACGCGCGATCCTGGAAGTCGGTGTTCGGATACGCAAGTAAGTGAACGCCTATCCCGTCTGGTGAACGCCGCTGTCGGATCGTCCGAGCGGAATTCCACATATCTTGGTCGATAGACGACGAGGCTCTTCTCTTTATACCTGGACCCTACAGTCGTACCTTCGCTTCGAAGGTGGGACTGGGGTGGGTGCCAAGAGTCATACCGAACATGAGGAGGTACGACTGGAGCCCTAGGGTATAAGAGTCATCCATGATAAGAATACAAAACGCCCACAGCGACTTTGTTTGTGTATGTTTGTGTGTGTTCTTCCCTCTCTCGTTCCCAACCCTGACCACCCGTGAGCCTCGTCGAAGGGAAGAACGCGACGATATCTCTTCCGCCAGTTGGGTCTCTTCTCGTAGCCTTGTGGCCGACCAAGAGTAACCCGAGCAGACCGCAGATTGGCAAACAGTGCTTGTGGGGATGCTGCGGATTCCACGCAAACACACACTTAGATGGATGCTCGCAAGAGCTATAAGTTCAGATTGAAGTCCCACTGTAACGATTACATTACCAGTTGCATTGTAGACCTTGGCTTGCAGAACGGATAAATTGCCGGGTCGGAGAAAAGAATTGTTGAACAATCGCGGTAGCTCTTTAACGTGCTTGAAACAATTCTTGCAGGTACGTTCGGAGAGCGTCCTCTCCGAATATCACATCCGATCAGCAGTGTCTTTGTTAGGCAGTGACTGCTGAAGGGATCACTGCCCTCCTGCTGGTGCAAATATTAATAGGAACAGTGAAGAACCTTAGAGACAGGTAGTGACACACTCTGACATTGGTTTTCAGTTAACTCAATTGCCACGATGGGAAGGAAGGTGAGGGAACGGAAAGGCGCATGAGTCCGCAGAAAAGTATTGTTTAACACAAGTTTTATGCAAGTGGTAGCGGCGTTCAGCAGCTGCAGTGCAGTGGGAAACCGGTTTATGGGGAAGGATCACATGAAGAACCATGAATCAAACCAAAAGAGTGGACAGCGTGTGCAAAAGTTCATTGAGCAGGTACGTCCAGAAAGCGTCCTTTCTGGATTTCACGACCGGACTATCACTGTCTTCGTTGGGCAGTGAGTGATAGCGGTCCACTGCCCCCCTGCAGATCTTGAAGGAACCCTTAGAAACAGGGTGTGACACACACAAGAAGCCGAACTCGGCGCAGTTGCAGAACAGCGAAGAAAGCGGGCTTTTTTCAAAAACCGCCTGCACGCTTGCAGGTCATGCCCTTTTTGGGCATAGAGGTGGACCAGTGCTTCTGCCGCAGCCTGAGCTCTGGTGGATCTGCAGTGAGGAAAGGTAAGGTGAACTCATGGCATGAGATGCAATGCAGAGTGGTGTAAAACATGTGGAAGCTGATCAAATGGCTGCGGGTTAAAAAGTTGGGAAATGCGGTAAACAGCGTCATGCCAATGCAAGACCGAATGAGTCAGGTAATCACAAGGGAATCCATCGTTTATAGCCCGGCGGCTCGAAAATCCGTTAATTCAGTGATAGAAATGAACGAGCGGGGAAACAGTTATAAATATGAAGGACCAGTGAATTCCGGAATGGTTTCGGCGCCTCCTTTCGGAGGGTCACACCCAGCACCCAAGTGGGAAGACTGAGCGGCTCACACTCTGACATTGGTTTTCAGTTAACTCAATTGCCACGATGGGAAGGAAGGTGAGGGAACGGAAAGGCGCATGAGTCCGCGGATAAGTATTGTTTAACACAAGTTTTACGCAAGTGGTAGCGGCGTTCAGCAGCTGCAGTGCAGTGGGAAACCGGTTTATGGGGAAGGATCACATGAAGAACCATGAATCAAACCAAAAGAGTGGACAGCGTGTGCAAAAGTTCATTGAGCAGGTACGTCCAGAAAGCGTCCTTTCTGGATTTCACGACCGGACTATCACTGTCTTCGTTGGGCAGTGAGTGATAGCGGTCCACTGCCCCCCTGCAGATCTTGAAGGAACCCTTAGAAACAGGGTGTGACACACACACACACATCACACACACTCTGTGCATGGATTGAGCTTAAAGTGCGCGTTTCGGCCTTGAAGATGTCCGGAACATCCGGAACCTCCTATAGGTCCACTCCCTGTCAGTAGTGGCGACACCGACAAACCCATTGGGAATGCCATTGTTTTGGCAGCATGGTCGAAATCCTTGGCTTAGCCTCTGGCCCCATACGGAAGTTCAGAACCTGAAGATGGACCTGTGGAAGACTAGTTTCCTCTACAGCCCAGTGGTTTTCAGGTTCCATGTTCATCTTCAAGGGTGTACTGCTGGTGATTGATAGCCGTGTGCAAAGGGCTCAATCGCCCTGGGCGATGGGGCGAGTTCTAGGGGCCCCAAGCTCTTCAGTAGGAACTAGACCCTCACCCTCACCAAAACACAAACACGTTTTCAGAAGGTAATACAGTATAAGTTGGAGTCTCAGCCTTTTGGATGTTTGGATGGAACAAAGGGTCTGATGATGCCCTGATCCAATCTGGGGCCGAGAGGTCAAAACGATTTTGCCCCTCACCCTTTTGAAATCTTTTGAACTTTCATCCTCATAACCCCACCCTCCCCACTTGGGAAGACTGAGTAAAAAGGACTCTCAGGTTCATTTCTCAACGACCACCGTACCCCAAATTACACCCAAAACCCCTTGACTCAAAGGGCTCCTCTGTTGCTTCGCGGCGGAGTCACTAGACGAGCCACTGGAGCCACCAGCGGCTTTGTCGGAGTCCTGGAAACTTGCGGAAGAAATGGACCAAAACAGGTCAGTTTGGGCCCTGCAGGTCACCACGGACTCCAAGTTTTACTGGGTCTTTGGACCTGTAGGAAGCCTCTTGGGACTGGCATCCTTACCGATGCCAGGGGGGGTGTTGGTCAGTATAGGATGTAGGTAGATATTCCAGGTCACATCTTACCATGTAGGTGTCTGGGTAAGATGTGACCTATGTGGCCATCCTGGGTGTTTGGGTGTTGGTTAGACTCTATAAGGCGGGTGCTTTGTACACCAATCTTGCACGACCTACTGAAGTGAGATGTTTAAATAACATTGACACTACCCTGCAATTCAAGGGTTGCACTGGTTGGGATCACAAAATGTGTTCTCTTCACTTCCATCATAGTGGCCGGTAAAGAATCCTGAAGAGACAGGACAACGTCCAATCCATGTTCTACCCAAGGGTTTACAATGTCTAGTCTACGCATCTGTTCAACTCTGGAAGTGATTCGGATTTGGCCAGCTTCATTCCGGTATGCCAAATGCATATTTATCAGGCTGTTATAGGCTGTTCAGTTGTTCAATGTTGTTCAGGTGCATTCCAAGAACCTAACTCGCATCGCTTTGCCAAACTGTTCTCGTCCCTCTCTAGGTTGCAGTTCTTCTTCAGTTGGCTTGCTCCCTTCATGTTTCCTGGTGTCTGGATTGCTCCTGCCCTCTGACAACTGCGGCACCTTTTTCCACATGTGCAATGTGCAATCTTGCAGTTCCTGCTCCACTCGCGCGTCCGTCTGACACACATATCAACAGGCGGCTCGAGCTCTCAATAGGCGGCCACCATGGATGGGCTGCGATCGGCTCGGAAGAAGGGGTTCTTCACCTGGAGGCTCGGCAGTTGATGCAAACTGTGGCCGATCCAAACAAAGGTGGAGTAACGAGCATGCACCATCCTATGACACGAATTTCGCACATGACAAAGAACAGGCTCTATCTCTCACAGCAAGAAAAAACAGTACAAGAAATAATGACATTGTAGCTGGATGGTGGCACTATATAATTACATATGCATGTACAGTATGCAGTCTACAATGCATCCTTTGGCGGAAAGATATGTTTGCTGCAGGGGCTCTGCGAGTCAATTCCCAACTGGAGCAAAACTGGGATTTTGATTCCTATCACACGTGGATGTGTGGCAGGTTTCCTCGTGAGCATTCGTGAGCCATTTGCATGAAAAAAATGGACGGCTTGAAGGGTGCAAGGCTTCAGGCAAAACCGTTCAAAAAACCTGCAGCAAGAATGGTAAGGCATGACATGACACACAAATTTCCCGGAAATGTTGCCTGATGAAAAGGCCAACCCCAGTGCTCCGTAAAGGTAAAGCACCTGCAAAATCTCGCCGTTGGATCAAAATAAGTGTGCGACTGGGCCGCCCATGCCCCATGCCTATCCCAATCCTTCTGCCCAATGGCGGGATTCGGATTCTTCATAGGTCCAGGAGGATCAGGCGATGGTGTCCGTTCCTTCTTGTTCTTAATCATGCCCGGTCCTGGCGCCCCGGGCCTTGTTGTCATGAGATGGCGGTGTTCAAAAGGAGCGACATCGGAAAAGGGCGCTGAACAGTTCTGAGTTGGGGATATGGTGTTGAACGCCACCACTCGGCTTTGCCTGGCTCAGCCACAACTGAGCTGATCTTCCGCACCCCCCGCGCGTTGGGGATCCGGATCGAAGGACCGGTGGTTCCTATAACCCGTCGGCACCAATAGAAAGACCTCTCTACAAACCCGTCTAAAAGCCATCTATCTCTGGCATCTCTTAGCAAAGCTAGGTGGGAGGAATGATCAAACGTAGTACTGTACAGTGGTTTCAGAGTAGATGGCACAATCCCCCAAGTTCAGTGGTTTTTATGGACCCCCATTTAAAGGATGTCTTGGAATGCCAGTGCCATTCAACCTCTGAATCGTACTGTACCGGCCACCCACCGAACCGCGGTTCTTCGAGAAAACGCGACCCGACCCGGTCAAACGCGACGCATTTGAAGCTCCTCCGGAGAATTCGCTCGCGCGCTCTTCGCGCCGTCGCTCACGGGGATAGGAGCGGCTCCTGCGAGGACATCGTTCGGCTCGCTGAAACATGTTGTAACGGTGGTAGGTTCGCTAGTAGGTTGGGGCCATTGCTCTGGAGGGAAAATAGATGAAAATAGACCAACACATACCAACACCCATTGTTAGGAGGTCCCATGACTGGATGATGATGCTCATGGTGACCAGGGCCTTTCTCGAAAAGACAGTTGCTGCTAATTGGACACGCCCTATAGTTGCAAGAGTCGCTGCAAAACGTCTCCCAGTACACTAGCAAGGAAATTGTGAGAGGTTTGAGCAAATCCACCTCATGGTTTTCCTTTTTTTCCAAGGAACACATGGAAGTGCAACCTCAACCCCCCGCTTGTAGAGGAAGTCGAAGGGTTTGCACATGTTTGCAGGTATGTTATGTTTGCAAAAACAGCTCTGGTGTCACGCGTCAGCACATAAAACTGCAAGCTCGAACTCTATACTACAGACTAATGACTCACGGCACTAGAGGTCGTCATGGTCTATGCTCGTGTGGTTTGGGCGGGCTGAAAATGAAGCAACAAAAACACCTAGAGAAAGCACTTGAGAACCAGAACCAGCATGGAGCTGTTCAGTTTCCACTTGCTTTTTTGCTTCCAACTCAGCATGCTGTTTCTTTTCCCCACCGCAGAGCTTTCGCTCGCTCCTGGACCTGCGCCCGCCCATGTCGCGCAGGAGTCGCCGCGGAGAGGGGCTCTTGGGGTCGTTGCGCGAGGGGAAGTTGGCGCGTGGAGCTTCACCTGGAAGGCCAGCGAAAGCGGCGTCACATCTGGGGTGGGCTAAAGAACTGCAACCCCCAATCCTTGGTGAAGTAGAAACTGATGAAACTCCTGTTTCATCCATTTGTTCAATTGTAAGGATTCTTTTGAAGGATTCTTTTAGGGGATTCTCTCTGTGGGTGCTTGCTTGTTGCAAATGTCCAGCCCTGTTGACCCATGCAATGCGATCAGTCAAGTTCTAAGTTAGCTTCGGACATGTGTCCATCCATCTTCACCCGTTCCGGCCTGGTGGACTCCTCTTGCGCCTGGGGGGAGGGCTAGGCCGCCGCCGCGCGTCCGGCGAGCGGCCCCCGCGCATGGGGCTGCGCGCGCGGTTGCGGCCATACAGACGTGGAGGGCTTCGGCTACGGGGCCTCCGCGGTGGCCCGCCGGAGTTGGTAATGGCCATCGGACCATCATTGCCTCAGAGGACCGCACCAACGCGGACATGGGCATTCAGCGTGGCTGGGAATACGCGTATGTAAGATGAAGTGGATACACATGCAGCATTTAGTGCAGTCTTGTCCAGGTTAATCGACAAATCCTTGAGCGGGCTCAAAAAAAGGATTCTCGACTAGCCATAGCCAAAATGTCAAAATGTCATAGTATGTGTGCTTCTCCTCTAGATCCTCTACACTGGTAGGGAGGCAAAGTTTGAAGCAGCAGCCCGAATGCACGTCCCCATGCACCTCAAATCCAATCCTTCATAAAAACGACTAAAAACTCTTGTTCGAACACTTCTGCAACAATCCATGAAACAATCCATTCCCAGCTCCCACCCATACAAAAAAACACAGCCGCTAGCCCACCAAAAGGGCTTGGCCTAGCCACGCCAGCTTCCTTCGCCGCGGAAGGCACCCTTCCCTTCCGCTCCGCTTCGGTTCCAAGAGACCGCCCTTGGGGCCACCGGCAGGTCCCACGCCCACGGGGAAGCCATCCACAAAGACTTGTCCCGCCTTCAAGGCCACATAGGCCCGGTCCGCGGCCTCCTGTGTTCCTCAGGTCGGGTGAGACGGTGAGGCACATGTGTGTGGCCAGAAAACGTGTGTGCATGTTTAAGGCCGGTCCTTGGGATGGTGGATGGGGTGGAGGGGTGGAGGGCCGGTGTGATTAGGGCTTTCAAGGATTTTGCCACAGCTCCACGCAGGGTTGTCCAAATTCAGTGACTGTGGTTGACTGGGTAGCTCTGTCCAAATGGTGACGGCCAATGTGGCAAAAATAAACAAACAACACAATATACTGTAACAAAAAAACAATCCTTTGCAATTCATAGTGGGATAATTCATGGCACAAATTTGCTTGACAAGTGCATTTGCAGCGCGTTTTTGTAAAAAAAACTGAATCCCTTATATCCCTACACCCGATTCTCCAAGTCAGCATCCCAAATCTTTCCTCAGACTCTACGGAGCTGCTTGCACATCTAATTTACTCAGCTTCCATCTGTCCGAAACACCCAAAACACTCTCACCACAACGCGCACTCGGCACTCAGCACCCGGCTCGGCACCCCGCGGTCTGGTCCCGCCGGGACTCCGAAGCGGACATTGACAAAGTCCTCTCCCGGGATGCCGCTGTACGGTGGCTTGTGGCAGTGAACCACCTGCCCACCGACGCGACGTGTGGCGGAGGTGATAGGCGGAGGTGGAGGTGGATGGACGGATGGAAGAAGGTGGGACCGAGAAGGCGGAGAAAGAAGACCCAGTGTGGTTCAAATCAGGAAGAGTGGGCGCGTCGACTTGCACAAGATGTGCATCAATAATATTCATAATGATCCAAAGTCTACTTTCAAGAACAAAATAGTAAGCAGTGCAAGTGCAAGTTCTCTGGCTCTTGTGGTCATCTTCGTGCCATGTTCGATCCACATCAACAACAGTCCACTCAAGGACCGTCAAGGACCGCCCGTCCGCCACCCTGTTCGGCCCAAGAGACCTCCCCAAACTGCGCCATAGCCCTTGACATGCCCACTCGGCTGTGCTGGGGCATGATGCCCGTAGTGATCCGCACCAACGCCGACATCGGGCGCCGATCGAGGCCCCACACCCGGGGGAAGGGTGAAAGATCTGGAGTGACCCTCCTTTGGTCACACGTGTTTTTTGGAGCTCCGGAGGAGCTTGAGAGGGACGCAGCAGGGAATGCTGTAGCAGTTACTACTGCAACGATCCGAGTCGGTGATATCATAGTCCATCATAGTCCCACTACGAGTGGGGCTCCTTGAAGATCTTTAATGAATCATGCGGTAACCCGGCCAAACAAGCGTTGCAAAAGACACCATATTATTATCTTGGTCACCCGGCGCATATCCTGTGAGCAAACCGTATACAATCTTGAAAAATGGGTTGACCAAATTACCAAATATGTGTTGTCTCTCGCCACGAACCACCAGTAAGAAAGAGGATTCGCAGCTCTCAGGGGCCTGTTGAAATTGTCTTCCTTGAATCTGGCTCCCAAGATTGAAACTCCAAATGCTATAGATGTTCAAATCCGCCCCCCCCAACCCAACTCCCCAGCGGTCTTTTCAGCGCTCTTTTGCATGACTGTGCTGACCATCTCCCGCTCGCATCGGCCCACATCACGGCACCACCATAACACATCAACGAACGACCACCGAGCTATGCAACACAGAAAAACCGCTGTATGCCTGCGACACACCACATATCGAGTGATTGGGGGATCAAAGATCGTCACAGTTCCCCATCGTCGATCCTGCTTGGAAACTTGACACCCCAAACAAAATCCAAAAGGAACACAAAGTGGAACACAAATAACTAAACAGAACAGTGGGCCTACAGTGTCAGGTTCCCCCAGTCGTTCCGCCAGGCGGCTCCACTCTTGTCACAGCTGAGCTACCTACGGCCGTTCCATGGCGCCGGACCGGACCGGACCGTGCTCCCGTTCCAAAGACACGAGCGAAATCACCATAAAGAACCAAGCACCAAGGAAACGACCACAAACTAAGAAGGGTCCCGTTCCAATTGCTGGTGGTACCGGATCCGGGCGTGCTTTGCAAATCCTTCAGCGAAACACGCGAGGCCGCAGACGATCACGACCTGACACGTGGGCGGAACGATCACGACCTGTGCTTCACAGCTCACCACCGATGGACGGAGCTCACCCCGGACCATGGCCCCGCAACGAGGTCGGCAAACAGAACACCAGGAAGCCGGTGTGGTTGGCCATGCAACGGAAGGATTGCATGATGGACGCATGGGTGTCTAAGAATCCATCTGCATCGCAGTAGCAGTGGACTCGTTCTCGGGAGTGCAACGGAGACGTGTATGGTGCAGAACTTGAGTTCCCTTGACGCACAAGGCATGCTCGACATCATGCACCCCAATGTTCAAGCAATTCGAACAGGGTCATCTACTGTCAAGCACTGCTGGGGTTTTAGCACATCTTGTGCTTGGATGGAGTTGGCGCCTTATATCTCTCCCCCAATGTTGTGAGGAACCCACCGAGTTGGCGGGTGAAAGTTCACCATGAACCGATCGGTGCTCGGTCCATTTTCGTTTTTTGTCCCACGAACTTGCTTTGGGATCCATTCCCTCCTTCCCAAGCACTAGTCAGTCAAGGTATGTAGGTTTATCTTCGCTTTGACACACCTTTTCCAAGATCCAACATTGGCGGGGCACGAAGGTGGTGGTGGCTGGTGGCGATTGAAAACATCCCAGCCTTGCCTCCCTGTCGACTGCCTCTCTTCTGGATCTGTTCTGTCATGGCATCCCCATGAGGAAGAATGTTTCAAGAAAATGCAAGAAACTCATCTGCTGGGGTTACTCATCAAGCTTTGGTTTTTGGCTCACATCTATTGAGTCACAGGAAGGCTGGGGACACAGATCATGACATGATGCTCACGTTGCCAATGCTTCACTGTTCGAAGGGGCAAGAACTGCTCTCTGTGCGCATTATAATTAATTGCACGGCCGACCCCGACGCAACCAAGAAGCAATCAATAAGCCATGATTCAAAAACAAGTTATCTAATAAGCCATGATTCAAACACAAGTTAGCTTTTGAATTGAGAGATAAAGGTCGGCAAACCAGGGACTGGAATTTGTTTCTATCTTGTGCAAGCACGTGGAGCCGCTGAAATATAACGTCAATAATCTAAGTGTTGCAAACATTGAAAATAATGCAAGCTTTTGGAGGTGCAACAACACCAAAAAACATCACTCCCAAAATCTCCCAGATGTTATTGTTTTTGTTAATACGATTTAAAACGTTAACACCTACTTTATTTAGCTCACCCTTCGTTCTTGTGGCAGAAGGATGGGACATTCAAAAAAGATCCAAACAGTAAACTAAAGTTAAAGTGCCAACAATGTTTCACCTGATTTTCTCCATGCACCGGAGAACAAACAAAACGACATCCGCCGGGAAGTTCGTTTCCGGGGTCTCGTCGCCGTGCTGGGCAGGTTGCCTTTCCAACGTTGCCCACTTCGAGACGGTGCTGAGTCGTCCTTAGACTTGAGGAACACCCCTGAGGACCGAACTAAGCTGGCACGAAACGCGCACTTGGACGCGCAAAGGAAGATTATACTTTAATAGTACGACATGACCAAGAACCCTCAAATTTAACGCTGTTGGGGATGTTCTCAGATGTGCTTGATTTGCTCGGTCGCCCTTCTTTACATTCTTTCAGCTTCGGTCAGAGCGAGCTGTGACTCCACGTGTGCCCTCCAGTTGAGTTGGACATACAGGGATCAACAAAGACCAGTGCACTACCTGTAAGCTGAAGAAAGTGGGTCGGGCACTCGATTCGTGTTCTTTGCCCAAGAGCTGCCGTGGATCTAAATGGACCACCGGAAGGCCAGTTCGAATCTTTCTTCCACCCACTGATGTGGGGCCTAGTCGACTTTGCCTTCAGAAACGTCTGCATCTTCATGACCTTTTTTGAGCATCAAGAGGGGCATTGGACCATGTTGGACCCAACCAGGAGACAACGTGGACGAGATGGTCGTTCGGATCATCGGAACTTGGAACGGGGAGAAAAGAGCCGAACGAGGCGAAGAAAGCAATGATGTAAACGGTTGATCTACCCGTTTGGGCGAACGAGTCGTACCTTCGTTTCGGAGAAGGTGGGACTGGGGTGGGTTTTTCAAGGGTCCAGTCATACCATCTGAGGAGGCACTTGGAGCCCTAGGGCTACATATTCCCCCATAATAAGGAGATGTTTTTGACCGTTCTGGGTTCGTGACACATATGACATATGACATATGAATCGAAGGTCACCAAACTGACATGGAAAAAACACCCCGATCTGCCATATATGTTCCAATTACATGCTTACTTCATCCATCCATCTTGGACGGTCGCTGCTTGTGACTGAGACCGTCTCAGGCTGTGATCAGTCTGTGCTGTTCGCCTAGCTCGATCTTGCCCGGCCCACAGAGGATCTCAAAGGTCCTCCTCTATAATCCATCTCGCTCGAATTGGTTTAAACTTATAAAAGTCTCGAACCTAAGAACTGATGGGCGAACCACCCCCAAGACATGCACATCCCGGAATTCTGGGGGTCCGCTCCTCCGAAGATCTTGGGCTGTGGGCTGGGGGATGTTTTTTGGGGGAGTCCGCTCAAGGTGTCTTGGTGTGTATGGCCTTGTCGCTGGTAGCCATTGGTGTTGGTAGCCAGTCACCACCATGTCGCCGAAAAGGGGAAGATTTGAAACGATGGGTGGACGTGGAGGCGAAGAGTGTCGACAGCTTCGCCGAGTTCACCAAATCTGTATGGATTTGTGATCATGGGATGTTTACAGTATGATTTGACAGGTTGACAGGTTGACTTCACGGAATAGACCTGAAAGAACCGCCGATCTTCGTCCTCCAAATCACCTCCTTTATTGGTGCCAAACAAACGCTTGTGTCACAGCAGCTGAGTGGGTTGAAGGACTGTTGCACCACCAGTGCTGTGTCCTTGGCCGCATAGATTGGCAAACATGCTGTGCCTTCTTGGGCACAGCAGCACAGCGGCAGAACAGCACAACCTTTGTTGGTGCATTTCTAGCTCAGTGCTGCAAGGGCACCTTTCTATGCCCAGTCGGACCTGAAAAAGCATGGAGATGGAGTGTTGGTGTCTCAATCGCATCTCAAGCCAGCGCCATTCTCCAAGAACTCTGTCTTAGCCTGAGAATCTCTTGACCCAAACCTTCCCAGTGACACAATGTATGCTGACAATGCAGGACCCATGCTGCAGGAGAACTTGTCTGCTCCAGCCACCAAGTCGTATGCGAATTACATGATCATCATGATGTTACATGACAAACATCAAAAGCGTGGTGGAAAAGCCGTCATAAGAACCCACATAATTGTTCGAATCCCAAGTTCACACATGTTCACGCTCGCATTTGATGTGAGTGTTTCAGGCACCTCTCGTAGACCCGGATTCACCTGGTCAAAGGACAAGATTCGACCACCTGTTCGAAAAACGCCTCACAAAAGACACACGAGATACTGATCCGAAGGGCAGGCCATCTCGATGAATGACGTTTCTTCTGAGCTAACGAGCCGTGATTCGCCAGCAAGTAGCTAAAACGTCACGGTGACAAACCATTTCCGGTCGACATCAGGTGGTTACTGGGTGAGTGCTGAGCTGACAGGATGAGTCACTCCAGGTGCTTAGCCACTCATCAGATTATATCCGATTGGTCCTCTGACCATTGGCAATCAGATCAATCAGCTAGAGGCTATAGGCTATAGGTCTTCAGATTCGGCAGCCTTCAAAGTGCCTTCAGCTCTCGACCCAGGCCGCGGGTGCGTGCATCAAACGCGCTGGTTCCTACCAACAGGCTCCTCGAATTCGCGGCACGGCTCCTCTCGTGACCTACTAGCAGGGTCAAAAAGCCCCGGTCAAAGTCAAGCAACATCAACTGTTCAAAATGAATTCGACCAAGTCCTCAACTTGGACATAACTTAAGCGGATTGAGAGTAGATGACACAATCCCCAAAAGGTGGTTTATATATGGACCCCCATCTAAGAGTCATCTTGGGGGTTGAATCTACTCTGAGACCAGTGTAACTGGACCTCTCATAGAATTCACCAGCGCAGCAAAATCCTAAAACGAAACCTCAGACTTTTGTGCAGTGGGCGTCCTTTGGATGATGAGCGCCCTTGGGTAGAAATCGAAAACAACCGACAACTCACTCACCAATGCACACCTTGTGGCCTTGTGTTCAAGAAATGTGCTTTATTGACTCAGTTGACCCTGGCAATGTCCTGTGCAAGACCTGTCGCAAAGCTCAAGGGGAACACAGGCATAATGCTTCAAACGTGAAACTGCTCTTCAACGGTTGCATTTTTCTTCTTGGATTGGTGGTGACTGATTGTGAATCGGAAATGCTTGTGGTGCAAACCTGTCGGTGGATGATTGGACACAAAATGATGTGCTGAAACCCAAGCCATCGCCGCCCCACTGGAAACAACCTAGAACTCATTTGATCCCTTGAAGTGGCAAAAACATTTTAAAGCATGTCTTGGATGGGGTCATTCTGCTTCGCAACTGCTCCCGTCATGGATTGTCCCTACAAGCTCCTGGCGCACTCTGCTCATTCAAGTCCTTGAAAGGATCTTGAAAGCCACCCCCCGCTATCCCGCGCTCAGGTTTATCAAACGAGATTCATCAGTGATTATTGGCAATTATTGGTAGATCTGGGTCTAAAACCTCCTATGTGCCCAACCGCCAAATGCTCTAAAATGACGAAGAGCCTGGCACAAGTCCCATGCTCCATGTTCCTTGCATCTCGTGTTCCCCTTGAGTCCGCGGTCACGCCAACCCTCGGCTGCCATGCCTCAGTCGTGAACGACCCAGGGCGGATCAGAATCAAAAACAGCGTGACCATGCCGTGAAAAACAAGACCATAATCTGATCTGAAGTGCTCAGATGTGTGATGATTGGTGGTTATTTTGCGTACAACAGGTTGAATGAGAACCCAGTAAAATCTGCACCTACAAATACCTACTCAAATACCTCTAGGACCAAGCCACATCCGAAAGCGGGTGAAATTCGGTCCCCGGAAGCGGGGGGAGGGTCACCGATGACAAAAGCGTGCAATGTACTGAGTATCCCCAGGGTATAGCCTTCTGAGGAGGTACTTGGAGCCCTAGGGTATAGCTGAGTATTGCCATCTGTTTGATTCTGTACCCTTCGTCGAAGGGGCAGGGTGGATAGGGTGGGAGCATATTTCTGCACACTTTGACTTGTGCCATCTTGCCGTGAATCCCTATAGTCATGGTTTAACGACGTCCTGGTCATCTGGAATGCCTCTGCTGCGCCGGAACCCTGCGCAGTCTCTTGCGGTTGGCAAGTGGCGCAGTCGATGACCGGGTGCCAATCCTGCTATGCACAAAGCGACTCAGTGCCGTGCTGACCTCAGTCTGCGATGTGCGACTTGGATGATGTGCGACCTTATAGCGATGGCCTCCTTTTGGGAAGAATATATGGGGCTCAGTTTGGTACCAGGTACAGGTACCTATTCGTTGTTCACTTAGGGGTATCCCCTCTATTAATCCGAGTCTCTATTCATCAACCCACCAAGGGCATAGAAGGCCATATCTACCACTCGGAACTCGAACTTCTCTATTCCCCAAGACTGTTTATGGCCAATGAACATGGTTCTTGCACCCAGTCACCAAATGTCATTGGCCGTGCTGGGCATGCTACAGGCTCAAATGGCTCAAAGCTGGAGCACGACCCTAAAAGCAGTGCCCTTAGTATAGTCTAAGTACTCAGTTCTTCCATTCAGTTGCATCGCTGGCACAACCCTCAAGCCATATCCGATGGCCAACCATCTCGTTTGTTTGACGACCATCACGGCCCACCTGTTAGAACTCTGTCCGTCCACGCGGTCCGTCCGCGAACACCGCCCCAGGGGCTGTTGAACGTGTCGATCGCGGCAGCCAGCTCGAGTGAGCCCTCTGAGGCCTGAGCCAGGAAGAGTTCGCGGAAAAGGCAGGAAAAAAGTCGAAGCCGAAGCAAAACCCAAGGATGCCAGGTATCCCAGACCATTTATGGGACTGGAATATATATGCCTACATGCACCCCAGGTCAAGTACAGCGAATGTATATACATGAATGATAATGAATGTATATATATATATACAATTAATAGGCCCCATATGGCCCCGTACAGATAGCTAGTCTGGGGGAAGTGGTGGGAAGCATGGCAAAGGCACAATAAATGGTGGACAATCATTCATCTTCCCCCCAGGACGAGGCATTTCCATATCTTAACAATATCTTAACACAATATATATTATCTATATATATATCTTAACATGGAAGTTTGCTTGTACTGCTTGTGGGCCCCAAATGGGCCCCCTAAATAAGTCCTCAGAGCATCAGGACGACCAAAAAGCAGCACGACGCAGGTCACGCACGACGCACGACGCGCGGTGACTGCGTCACCAGCCCTCTGGGACTGCATGTGCGACGCACTCGGTCATAGGCGATGGTTGCTGACGTAAGATGAGGGTTGTACGACAGCGTCTCAAGACACAGCTTCGGTTTTGCGCACCCATGTAGGCTCAGTGCATGATAAAGCCTTTCACATGAAGAGGCTTCTACTCCAAATCCGCCGACTCAAACCACATGCATCATGTATCACTCATCTTCAGCTTCCCAAAACGCTGTGATTCCCCAAAACAAACGACCGCCGACCGCACGAAATTTCGGAAACAATTTGCTTTTGGATCTTCAAGCATCTTCTAGCCATGCTTTTGGACCTCTTGGATCCCAAACTATCAGATCTAACAAACTTTTCGCCGGTGGCAGCGGAATCCCTTCAAAAACGTTCAAGGCACCTACCTACCACTTTTCCTAGCAAGACATTCTCCACTTCGCACACACTTCCTGGGTTTGGAGTGAGCCACCCCAACGGCATCCCAGCCTGTGCGTCCACTGCGCAGGCCATATCGCTCGTCTGCTGTTGCAACCTGATGGGCCAAGAGGGCCACATGGTTGCTGTGCCACAAACATGACGTCCTGAAATTATACACAGTAAGTAAAAGTATAGTAGAACACATGAATAAAACAAAATTAAAACAAACATAAACTAACTCCCTGAACGACATTCCACTGCAGGTTCTTCACCACTCACCCGTTGTTTTTCTCACTTGGCTTCTACCCTTCCCCGTCGCCAACCAGTTGCACCTGGAGATCTTGGCCGAGAAACAAGGCACCAAAAACTGCCCCAGGAAATGAGTCAACTGAGTCTGACATGTCAAACAGCGAATTCCTATGAACAGAATAGTATATTTGCATCTACCTATCCAGCTAGCTAGCAGAACATGAACACAGTTCCAAACACCTCGGGGTGTTTTTTTGGACACCTCCAGTGGGTGTGACACAATCACACCCCAACATGGACCCTCCACGCGCCGCACGAGACGAGCTTTCAGGGGGGTGGTCACCACCCCACCGAGATGGAAGTTGAATGGCTAGTTTGGGAAATGCATGATCTGTGTTGACCCAAAGTCTATGTTGCATAGATGTGTCTTGATTGCGCTCCAACAGGCCCTAATTAGGGTTCCAAGGACCTTCTGAGAAAGTGTTTGGGGTGGGTGCCAGGAGGGTCCAGCCATACCTTGTCAGGATGTATGACTGGAGTCCCAGGGAGGGTGTTATTGCTTCTTTCTTCTCTGCTTCTTCCATGTGTGAAAATCTGCCAACATCACCTGTTTGGGCTGCCGGTCTTGAGAAAAGGTCCCAGGTATTCTCAGTGGTTTGTGCTGAGGCCCCAGGGGCTTAACTTAAGTGTAAGTACAGTGCGACACTGGGCCTATTTAATCCTGCTTAATATATAAGTATCAAATTATCTATGTCGGCCCGGCTAGTTGTATACCTAGAATTCTAGTTACTTACAGAGATATCTATATAGAGTATATAGCAATAAAATATAGTAAGTAATCTCAATGTACTTCTCAATGTCCTTCTCAAGTCTGCCTTTCTCTCTCCCTGCAGCCCGTGGTCGATCAAAAAAGCCAATTGCACCTCAGCACACGGGACACCTCCGCCCACGATACTGGCCAATTCCCCCTCCTCAGCCTCCCAGGAAACACTGGGAAAGGAACCAAAACACACAAACACACCGGAGGTCCCGCCACAACTTCACCGAGGCGCAAGTTCTCCGCGGTGGAGCGGAAGATCATTTTCTCGAAGCTGTCGAGGACCAAGTCTGGGTCCGACAAGGTGCCTCTGTTCTCACGAGACTCTCCGTCGTGGGGTGCGAGAGGAGCCGAGGCACGTGTTTTGAGGGGGCGCATGTGTTTGGGAAGGGGGGGAGGGGGCCGGTGGAGGACGGAGCGACCAAACCAACGGAGGAACATGTGTTGGGAGAAGCAAGTGGATCAGCGTCCAGCCGTGCCTTCTCCCTGCTTCTGACCTCACCAAATAAATGCTGATGCTTTGCGAGTGTCCACGTCCAGGGCATGCCGGTTTAGCGATCTTCCCTCACATCACTCTACAGCACCGCGTCCCACCCGACAGCACACTCCGACTCAACCTGGCATGCCAGGGAGCTCAACGCTTGGCTCATGTATTTCTGGGCCTGGAGGCACGGACGGTCTCGGGACGGTCAGGGCCAACCCGGATGTTTAGGGGGTTAGGCCGACGGTCTCCAGTGGATTCAGGAAAAGGGCATGCAGGCAAGCACCACAGAATTGCCCAGTGTTTCAACATGTTTCAATTTTAGAGTCACGGGAAAACACCCTTAGAGAACACATCAATTCTTAAACATTCTTTAAATCTTTGTGTGTTTTGTGCGCAGCCCCCAAGTATGTGAACAAGGACCTTCTGCAGCTCATGAAGAACACGGCCAGCTCAGAACGGCCGTCACGGCCGTAAGCATGGGTGCGGTCCACGTGGCCATGGTTTTTCGCGACGACCACGAGCGGTGCTTCGGACGAAACCGAAGAACTTGCGCGTTGCGCGCGTGGCTCCGGCACATGAGCTATAGCAGCTCGAGCAATAGCAGCTCGGCTATTTTGGTGTGGTGGTTGCCCAAGACCTAGGCCTCTTGGGGCGCAATGTTGCTCATTCTGCTCATGAATTTCAGCTGCCCACCGGTCCGGATGGCACGGTCGGGCGGTTCGACAACGACCGCCTGATGCTCATCTTTGGCCTTCCAACGTGACATGCCCAGGTCGGCCAAGTCAGAGGCCAAGGCCACCTGAAGATTCGCTTCATCCTGGAAGTACCTGGACCCTCAAAGTACCTTAGAAAATGGGGCATGACGAACAGGTACTTGTACCATATTGTACCTATTTTCGGGTGTACTTTGAGACTCCAGGTAGGTTGTTGAGAAACATGAGGGAATCCAAAAAACTGTCTGAGTCTATGAAGCTGTTGGATTTCCCCATGTCTTATCCACTCCTGGATGACTAGAATGGGCGTTCGCTGGGTGATCAGTCTTCAACAAGGGTTGAGCCTAATTGGGTCTGCCAGAACATGGTTGAAGGCCCTGCTACAGTTGTGAGTTTGAGGTTAGTGCCAAAAAAATATTTCATTGATTATTTTCTTTTGTGATTTTGTTATGATTTTGTTATGATTTTGATACACTGTGGGTTATGTTTTTTAATGGTTTTTTTATGCGCGTTAAGGAGCCCTTGAATTTGACATGAAAATGTTTATGATTTTCTTATGGTTTTAAACTGCCACCAAAAAGTATTATGAAAAAGATATGGTTTGAGAGTGTTTTTTGAGTACTTCAAAAAGATCGCCATATAGTTGTGAAAATATGGTGCGAATATGTTTGCATACTTGAAAAATAGTGGTTTGGTTAAGAAACTAAGTAAGTAAGCTTCACCAGCGAAGGGAAGTTGTTGAACATTCCAAGGAGGCACCCCAATGCTCATGCCCAAGCAACGTAGGGACGCTTGGCGTCCTTTCTGTTGATTAGCTTATTAGTAGCTATTGAGCTATTGCCTTACAAATCCTTCTGCCTAGGACCCGAAGGAAAGGTGTGTAGTAGAGAAGGAAAGGTGTACTGCCCTAGTGACCCGAAGGAAAGGTGTACTCCCCCAGGCGTGTCCTAGGCCCTAGGCCAAAGGTTAAAGCCTGAACCCTAAACCCTAAACCTCAAGCGTCAAATTTTTTGAGGTGACCCAGGCAGGGTGAGACCACCTGCGGCCCACCATATCAAAACCATAACAAAATCATAACAAAATCATAAACAAAATCATATCAAAATCATAACAAAATCATAAAACTAATTCCCAGACCCATGTTTTTATGATTTTGATATGATTTTGATATGATTTTGATATGATTTCGTTATGCAGGGCCTTATGGATTTCTTATGTTTTTGTTACGCTTTCAGACGACCAATGGTTCTGAGATATGGATTGCTTGCAGTTCCCAGGTCCCAGGCCATGGGTGGATGGGTAGTTTAGGGCCTAGGGCCTAGTATAGAACCTACTGTCCTAGGCCCTAGGCCAAGGTGTGTACTAGACCCAGGTGTGCTGTCCTAGGAAAGGTGTGAACTCATGTATGAAGGCCAACTCCTCTCTGCCTTCATTAGTGAAGAGGTTCCTTTGGGAACACTAGTCACTAGTCACTAGTTAGTTCTCAAAACCCATCATACAATAGAGACTATTCTATTCCTGAGTAGTCTTTAGTTGCATTTAAAACCAACCAGAGAACGGACCAAGAGACTTGCAGAACAACAAAGATTTTTCGCAGTTTACCAGGTTTTTCTGAAAAATGTATTTTCTTTCTTTGTAGCAGAGGAAATCTCGTGAAAATACACCACAAGTTTGGCTGAACACACATCTCAACTACCATGTTTTGCAACCCAAAAGGCTCTGTATATGTGAAATTGCAGACCTCAAAGAGCATAACGAAACCATAAGCAAATCATATCCAAAAAACACACCCACCAAAAAATCATAAAATTTCATAAAGTCAATCGTAACCAAATCATAAGGAAAACGTAAAAAAAAACATAACAAAATCATAAAAGAAAATAATTTAAAATCATATTTTTGTGGCCTACCTCAAACTCACAATGCTACAGGGATCTACAGGGTAAAACATGGTCCAACCTATGAAACGCGGAGGGAATTGATCCGACCCTAGAATGCCAGTCTTGTGCTGCCCTCATCCAAATGATTGCAAACTTCATGGCCAACATGTGTGTGTGTGATGAGGAACACACTCATCGCAGTGGGCACCACTACTTGCATGTTCCTCATCCCAAAAAGACATGCAGTTGTAAGCAATGGCCACGGCCACATGCGGTTGAGGCAGTCAACGCAGCGAACGTCACGTCCGGATCGACCACCGAGGCGCTGCCAACTCCTTGTGACAGAGATCCACGTAGCGGGGGAGGCACATCTCAGGAGCGGAGGTATGGAGCCAACGAGGGTTTGGAGCGAGGTATGGGTGGGGGGGGGCAGGGACAGACAGTGGATGCAGTTTCATTGTCATATACAGTTCCAGCGAGCTTTCTTAGTTCCAAAAAAAAATGCTTTGATTGGCCAATCCGAAATTTGATACCACCCAGTTGAGGCCCTTTTTGTCGTTCGAGTAGTAACGGTCGATGGGACGGGGGGATGGAACGCATGCACGCGGCCACCGCAACCCCAGGACCAAACCTCACGTTGAGGTTTCAGAATAGATGGAACAAACCAAAAGTAAAGATGTCTGTTCTATAGGGGTCAATATAAATCACCTTTTGGGATTGTGCCATCAACTCTGAATCTGAAACCGCTGCGATCCGGTGCTGCACAACGGGACGGTTCGATACAGCTAGGCTTTTCTGCAGAGTGACTGCGGCAGCCTTTGTGGCTTGATGCACCGCCCTTGCAGAATAGATGGCGCGGAGCAAGAGGTCCTGCAGGAAACGATTGAGTTATTGAAATCATCATGCATGAATTCTAGAAGTGAGGGCGGTGCGAGCTTCAACTCCTGGATTTCCCCACCCCAATCAGCTGCAAATCATTCGTTCGAGGCCTTGAAGTGACGAGGTTGTTGCCAACTGCGCGTGGAATGAAGGAACAAAGTTTTCATATGTTTTGTTAAGCCAGCAACCTGCATAAAACAAGGGCCCCAAGAGCAACAACACGATAGTCAGCGTAGCAAGGGCCGAGCACCAGTGGGTGTACGCAGAATTCAGAATGAATAAACGGTATGGTGCAGTCCCTGCAGGGGATCTGATTGCCTTCTTCCCACTGATTTTGGGCAACTGCCAACAAAGCCTGGGGTCATTGGTCTGCAGGCAAGGCGAGGCAACAAGGCGCATGGGCATTGACCTGACCTGCCTGAATTGTAATATTTCATGTCATTGGGTTGCAATTTGTTACTTCAATCAGTCATAATCAGTCATAGGTGAAATAACGAAATGATCGGGTGCGGTCGGGTTGGGGTGCTGGAGAGCGGTGGTGCAAAGGGTAGTTTTGACAGCCCCGGAAAAAAAAAATGGTTTCGTTGCGTTCTGTCAAACATGACCCTGGCCAAAAATGCCGTGGTCTAGTGGTATGATTCGCGCTTCCATTCACGAGATCTCTAGATCAAATCCGCGCCGGGCTGAGATCGAAAAAAACATCGCCCAACAAGTCTTTTCTCAACAACACCGCCCCCTCTCTATAGTTTAAACCCGCCCTGCAGCTACCCAACCGCTTTGAAGCCGCAAACAATTGTTCGTCGCCTAAAATGTTGTTTTCCGACAATACCCCCCCACTGGCATAGTGCCGTGCCAGCGCAACACGCGAAGGCCCCCAAACAGCAAGGTTGATGTGACGAGCAACTCTCTGGCTTGGGCTGCCCGTCGCCATATTACTAAGAACAATTGCTGAATATCAACCAGGCAGCTGGCGCGACGAAGCCAGCCGCAGGAGACAAGGTTGGCAGTTGAGAAAAGGGGTGTGGTTATAAATGCAAAGAAGGCGTTTGCTGTGGGGACGCTGCTCACCCGGTAATGAATAGACACAATGAATGATACCAACCATAAACCAACCTCACCCACAGTATAATTTGAAAACATTCGGTCGTAGTTTCAAGTGACGCCAAGTGAGGTCGCTATACTTCAACCACCCTGCACAAAAGCATCCATGCACAGCACTCGCCACTTTGTACAAGTTGCCCTCCCGACACTGAAGCCCGAACTCAGGCTTGGGGGTTGAAATAGAATCTAGAGTTTGCCATTGGAAACGACTGGACAAGACATCGCACCCCAAGCGCAGGCACAAGCACATAAAGAACAGGCGTCAGTACGGCATCAGTATTCGGTACTTCTTCGTACCTATTAACAAGCACAGCCTGGCTAAAAGAGAGTTGGTGCCGGACACCTCTAAGTACAGCTTTCTCAATATTTCGCTACAAAGTGCTCCCGGCAATTGTGGGGCTGCTTGTTATACCTACAAGTATCATCTAGATTCACCACCAACCGCGCCGGCGCCGCATTTAAGGCTCCACCGTTCCCCAGTGGCACAGAACCAAGCAAAAAAGGCCTCGCCGACAGCAAAAAGAGATTCTGCTCAAGGACTAGCCGGAGTGTTTTTGGGTTCTTTGACAGGAATCCATCTTCCAAGATGAGTCAACCACCATCATCCCAGACTTGCGCCAGCTGTATCCACTTGCTTGGAGACTTGGCAGAGTGCCTAAGAATACCTCGCGTTCCGGTGTCGGGGCCGCTGAAGGTTTTTCATTCGACCTTCATGCAAACCAGGTGGCTCTGTGGAAATTCAGGATGTCGTTAGGCATGATTCTTGAGATACCGTGATTTCTGCGAGTGGATCTTAATCAGCGAAGTTTGAAGCTATCACTGACGGTCCATAAGCGGCGTAGCGTCGGAACGGAAACCGCACCTTTTCTAGTCGCTTGATCCTTGAGCCAAAGTACATATGGTACACATATATATGTACATGTTGCACTGTACGTATCGCTGCACTTCCATTCGCACCCCCCATGTGAACGGTAACAATATGTTCCGATCACACACGAAAATTTAGGGATGTAAGTGCTACAAAGAAATTGTATGATTTGCCGCGAGACTCATATGAGGCTCATACTACAGAACATGCTGGACTAAAGCGGACTTTTACATATAAAGTGTGCAACTATGGCTCAGAACCTATGAAAAAAAAAACGAATTGAACAAGTGAGACAGTCATGAGGCCTCGCTCAGTATCCACTCAAAGAGCTTCGCTTTGATGTAGACCCGAACTGGTGACTTCCACGTAGATGTCACATCGGCAATTGACTTCACACTTCTCAAAGATGTAGGTTTTGGTTTGGATACACTTACAGAACGGCAAGTCGGAGAGACAGTCGGTGATTGTCTTCCTTCCATTATGCTCATGGTATCAAATCAAATTGTCGATTTGCAATGGTACACTTACAGCGTTCCAGGTCAGATAGACATCCGGTGGACGACTTCCTCCCTGGTTTGCATGGTATCCTCATAGTCTTCCAAAGAAATCACCACTGGTGATAACCTCTCCATCCACGATGATCCCAGTTGCCCTGAGCATCCCACCGATCATCTTCTCCCTTCTTGGACTTTCCCTTGGACTTGCTCTTTCCCTTTCCCTTTTCAGAAGGTTGAGGTACTTCGCGACGTTCCTGCGTCAACGCCGGCCTCCAAGATGTTCCAGATCGGCCTCCTCCTTTGGAATGTCCTCGGGATGATGAAGAAGTTGTACCTTCTGCTGCATGTGCGTTGGCGGCAAGATCTTCCTGCAAAGCTTGCTCAAACGCATCGGTAGCATTGGATGGTGATTTATCATGTGGTCTGGCTTTTGGAGCAGCTTTTGCCTTGATCTCCTCTGCTGATGAGGGCCCGAAACTCTTAGGTGCTGCTGAAGGTTTTGGTTCCTCACTTGGTGCTGACGACGGCTTGGCCTCGGTTCTGGGTGTAGATGCTGGCTTAGCTGTTGCCTTGGCTGCCTGCTTCTTCTTGCCCTGAATCTCCTTGGCCCTATCTCCAAAGCCTAGACGATTGGTAAGAGCTTGAACATGCTTGTGTTCTATCACGCTCATCCATCTCTCTGTATGTCCAACGTTGGGGTTTCTGGCCATTGACTCTATGACTTCCTGAGCTTGTGGGGGCAACCTGATTTCATGTTGATCAATGATCAAAAGAATAGACTTCTCCCACTTGCTCTTCATTCTCGAGTACATGATGTCCAGAGGATCGATCACCTTGTGGTAGGGTGATGTAATGTCGGTTCTAAAATAAGAATATGTCCGACATCCATAAATCGCATGGATGCACTTCTGTACCAATTCAGTCATTGCACTGGCTTTCTTCGCTTTCAACTCCTCAAGCTGGGCGTCAGTCAAGTCGGTGGAGTATTCGAAGTTGCCATATTCCTCTTTGAAGGATTTCGGAGTATGACCGAATGATAGGATCATGAGTGCTACCTTGCAAATGAATTGTTCTCCTCTGAATCGGTGCCAGGCCTCCTCAGTTGTAATATTGTTGTCGTTGGCAAAGTTTAACATCATGTCATCTGTTGGATCCAATGGTCTCCCATCGTCATCGATTTCAGTGGAATCTCCTGTACCGAATTTGCTTATCACATCCAGACGCTTCTTTTTCCAATTTGCTTTGAAGTCGGTAATGCTGGTGCAATAGTAGCTCTTGTACATCAGGGAGATCATGTTCAGCACACATTTGACCACATACCTATCCATCAAACCCGATGCATTCATGGAGACGTCCTGACAGTAGGCTCTCTCTTGATGCGCATAGATTCGAGGTTCCGGTACTCGACAATAGATGGGGAGATCTTCGTTGTCTCTTCCTTCTTCGGGATTGAACTCGGTCGCTCCATGCTGTGTGTAGTATCCCGGTTCATCACGATCTGTCGGTCGATTTGCCTCCGGATGTAAGTCGTCGGTGACGTCTTCATCCTCGGGCTCACCATCTTGACGTTTCTTCCCCTCATATTGTTGTGTGCTCCTCTGGATCTCGATGATCACGTTTCGTTCGTCTTCATCTTCGAGATCAGAATCACGACCGTAGTCGATCTCATCCTCATTGAAAGATGGGGTCTCGACATTGTCACTCTTGAGGTTCTCTGCACCATCAGACGGTTTGGAAGGATCTTGATTGTCCATGTCCTCGTCGTCATCAGCTGCTTCAGTTTGAGCGATGTCTTCTTCCCAAGCCTTTCTGATCTCGTCCATAGTGGCCTGATCCAACATATCTTGATCATCATGTTCAGGCTTCTTCTCTTCCTTCTTTTCCTCTTCATCGTCGCTCACAAGATCAACGGGTGAATCGGAAATGACAGTGTTGCGAATACCACACGAGAGTAGCCTGCCTTGACAAGATAGGCATACGGACAAAGATGAAGAAGTCAAATGCATACATGATGGACACAAAATATTGCCATCCACGTTGCGATACCCTTCACATGTTCTGGAGATGATTTCGTCCCAAGTTTCCTCACTGATGGAATCCTCGATCAGCTCTCCATTGTCATCGAATCGTACTTCATCGATAAGGGACACGAGCTTCTGGACGTTGTCATCTGTCGCCGAGGCTGACTTTGTGACTTCGTCGGCTCTCCCGAGGATGGTATGCTTCTGAGCAACCCAAAGTCCATGACGTGCCGCTAGAACAACTTGTTCTCCAGTGCTTCCCAGCAGGAGTCTCCTCCATGCCTGACCGTGGTCATCCCAATACCAAGCACCTCGTACACATCTCCATGGAACTTCTCTAAAAACAACAGTGTAGGAATTCTCCGAAATTCTTCCTCCAAGCTTCCTCAAAGTCATGATTGGAACATAAAGGCAAACGGGCATTCCCCCTCTTGGCCATCTTGATCTCAGGATCTTTGATGATCGATCATCCCACGGCGCAAAGTGGTTGAAGAAGACACTACC